TTTTTCTTCTGCGACATTATGTATTTCTATCAAAATCAGCTTTTTAATGATGCTAACTTTTAGCTACCAAAAATTTGTCCATCGCTTTATTTGATTATTTGCAACACAATTTTTGCGGCAAAACTGATAAACTAATTTTCATCAAATTGCTTTTTCATCAGCCATGTGGATAACAGTGTAAAGGCAAAACTGGAGCCATTTCTAAATTTGTCAGGTGATGAGAGCTATCAAAATCGCGACCTTGAGAAGGTTACAATCTGATCTTTCCCTGGTATTTAATTTTAATTTAAAAAAAAAATCATATTTTCTAAGATATTTTTCAGATCGCTCAACAAGTATCAAAGCAATTTTATGATGAAAAAGTTAAGCCATCTACATTGATTCCAAAACAAGTTGGAAATATGTATACAGCATCCCTATATGCTGCACTTGCATCAGTTATTCATAATAAGCATAGCACCCTGGTAAATCTCTTTATTATGTTAGTACTCTTAATTTTGTAAATTCCTTTTCTTTTTTTGTAAATTTAGTTTTATTTATTAATTTATTTAGTTATGCTTACAGGTTGATCAGCGTATAGTTATGTTCTCATATGGCAGTGGCCTTGCTTCAACCATGTTTTCGTTAAAGCTTAATGGTGGTCAACATCCATTCAGCTTATCACACATAGCCTCAGTGCTAAATGTTGTAGAAAAGCTAGAGGCGAGACATGAGGTATATTTCTGTTAGAATTATAATCCTAATGTTAATATTGGAGAAAAGCTTAATGGTGATCATTTTGATTCTTCTCTTGTTCATCAAGCACGCATCATCTAGTTACAATAATGATATGTTGATTCCTATCCATATCTTTGGTCTCAGTTTTCGCCGGAGAAATTCATCGAGACAATGCAGCTGATGGAGCATCGCTATGGAGCGAAGGATTTCGAGACGAGCAAAGACACGAGTTTGCTCTCTCCTGGTACGTTCTACCTCACCCATGTGGACTCAATGTACCGGAGATTTTATGCTAAGAAGGGTGCGGCAATCAGTGTGGCCGGAAAAGCTGCTGGCCTGAGTGCCAACATTCTTGCCAATGGCCACTAGAGTAGGTGCTAATGGTGATATGTGCCAAGTCCTTCTATATGTCTGGAATGTATTCCTCTATGAGCAAAAGCCTTTTATAATTTGTTTCTGATAATTGCGGCAAGAATTTAATGTTGTTTTTATTATTATTAGATTTTATTATTTTCAATTTGATTGCTCTCTTAGTAGACTTATAAATTAATTGATGGTTTAAGCATTGTTTTAAAAATTAGATCCGACCAGCCGGTCTGATTTATTCAATCGTGTCGGCTTGGTCCAAGCTCTGAAAATGCTTCCGCACAAAGTCACATAGAACCACGATTGAACCAGTGAGTCGGCTCGATTTTCTTATAAACATGTTAATTCTAATAGTAATTAGTTTTTTTTATGGGTGATTATAAATAAATGTTTAGATTAAAATAAAAAAAAATAGTTAAAATGTTGTATCCTTACTATTTTTTATTTAAAAATATTCAAGGGTGAAATATTCTCCATTAGAATATTGTATGACAATGTGATGAAAATGTCATTATTGCATTACTATTTGATTATTTAAATTATATTAAACATGTTAATATTTATTATATCATTTGGCTCCTATTTTTAATTTAACTCTGGGGAAGACTGTTTAACCTTAAAACATCTCCTTGAACAATTGGTGAGGACCTTGGATATCAGTGGTGTTAGCCAACTAAGTTGTTTGAGTAGGGGGGTATTTCTATGATCGACTACTTGGACTGCTCTGAACATGGATTTACTATTTGGAATGTCAAAAGATAGTTGGGACTATGCCCATAATGTGTAACATGCACCCAAATTGGCTAGTTTGAATTCTCTTTCATTGGAGCTTTTCTTTGTTGTTGGTTTGCTGCTCCTGGAGTCATGAATTTCTTTAGTTTTTCAGCCTTGATCAGTTTCTCGATTAGGTTTTGGATGTGCCGACAATCTTCTGTATTATGGTTGTGATCCTGACTGTACGTATTATACTTTTTCGACTCAAGGGCAAGCTCCGATCTTCATCGGGGGAGCTCTCTTGAAGTAGTCTTTATTCTGGATAGTCTCTTCTATCCCAACCAATGATACCATCAATGGGGTTGCCTTGAGAGTCTCGTGATGGGGCAACAAGTGCTCATTGTACCGAGTCGGTAGTTGATCAGGATATTGCGTTTGATTCTCATAGTGGTAGGATCTTTCGGTTCCCTCTGTGATCTTAGAGTAGCCAATTGTATTCATAAAGTCGATGAGCGGAGTGAGGAAAATATTCCCTAGTTCTTCACCCGTCGTCCCTTGGGGCCCTCTTCTACAGACGACGGGTAGAATGCTTTGTTATAGAGAAAGTTGGGGTAGAGTTGTTTTTTCTTGGCCGATATATGATTGTTGATCAGCTCCAAAAAATTAATTATGGTCTTTAGTTGATGTAGGCCTACAGCATATTGGAATGGTCATTCTTTCAAACCTTGGGCCAAGGCATCACATGCTACCGTGGGTTTTAGATTCGGCACTTCCAACATCTCCTTCCGAAGATGATTGATAAACAAGCAGAGGCTCTCATTCTACCCTTACTCGACCCATAGTAGGACCTGTGAATTCTTCTGGATGCTCGCAAACTGCGCCACAAATATTTGCTTAAAGTAAGCAAATGAGATAGTCACTCCTTGGGTTAAACCATGGAACTACATGAGGATCGACTCCCTTAGTGTGGTCAAGAAAAGATGACACTTTAGTGCATCGATGTTCCTCAACAACCGTGTGGTCGACTCAAATGAGGTTATGTGGTTGGTTGGATCAGTCTGACCCTTGTATGTTTCTAGTGCATGGATTTTAAACATCTATAGGTGCTCGACCTTAAAGATTTGTTAAGAGAACACATTCTATGCTAGACAAGGCATCTCAATGTAGCTAAAAAACTGTCTATCCATTGGCACCAACCCAACACTCAAGCATTAGGAATCTCTTTCCC